GCAAAGGGAGGCCCAGCCTCCGAGGAGACCAGGAGCTCTGCTTCAACAGCCCTTCAGGGCTCCCCAAGGATACTTAGTCCCTACACCTCTACTTCGACATGTTGAGTCACTAGGCTTCCTGGGTAGGGCCCATGCATGAGAACTGTGTTCCCCTTTCTAGAAATAGTCTTATTTCTTTCTCTGCCTCCCTCATGCACATACACACAGGTGCCTATGCAAGTTCACTTAGCCTCAGGGCTGGTCCCTGTCCAGAGGGCTGGATCCCTCTCCTAGTCCTCTATCAGTTTGTGGGGCTGGACCCCAGGCTCTCTGCTCTTTTTCTTCATAGTCATCAAGCCTTTCACACTTGTCCTCATCTTCTGACCAGGATAAAAGCTCTAACGCAGAGGACTCCCCAAGCACCTGGCATAGGCCATTCTCAGTGCCCCCTACACATACATGCCCTTCTTGATTTTACACTCACCATGAACCCCCAGAGCGAAGAGACAGAAGAGCCCTTAGGTCAGTTGAAGTTGGCAGGGGAAACTTCTAGAAATTCCAGAAAAAGTGCCAGGTTTTATTATTTATTTTTCCCTTTACAAATCATGACTCTGCTATAAATTCTCCTAGTTCATTTATGCTTATTAAGGCTTCCATATTTCCAGAGCTGGAATATCAAGAATGAGATGAAGTCCTTAGTTCCAGGCTTTGGGGTAAAGCAGGATCAGGGCATTTTGGCATTAACTTCACTTAGCAAATATTTTCTGAGGTTTTGTTGAACGGAGCTGTGCTGGAAGTGTGACTCAGTCTTGCTTAATTTCTGAGCACTCTGTGTTTTTTCCCAGCTCATTCCACAACTCTCCAGTCCCCGCTACAGGGCTATATCCTTTACTTGTTTGCCCTCTTTGATTCTGCCTTGTTTAATTCCCTTGAGAAGTCTTTCACTATCAGTCATACCTTCTGTGTAAGTGCCCTCAACGTTCCATCTTTGATTCACTTTTCTCCATGAGACTCCTAAAAGGAGCTCACCTGTATGTCTTCAACAGCTGCTGATAGACTGGTGATTCTCAAGTACCTATCCCAGTCCCAATGTCTCCCCCTCTTCTTTAAGATCTATGTTTTTATTACCCACTGGACATCTCTACAGACATATCCATGTGGATTCAACACGTCACCCTTCCCCTCAACTGTATTCCAATCCTGGTTACTTATCTCACAATCTACACAGGCTTACAAGTTAGAAACTTGTATGGCTCTTAATTCCTTCTCCCTATCTCACCAGTCAACATTTCATGTTCCATTCAAGCAGTCATTCTTGAATTTAGCCTTTCCTCTCCCTTCTGCTTTTACTTTATTCATTGGAGCATGGAATTTGGAGTCAGGTTGTTCTGGTTTTAATTCCAGCTCTATTTTTTGATTGTGTGATCTTAGGAGAGTTATTTAACCTCTCTGAGCCTCGATTCCCTTGTATGTAAAATAACGATAATAATTACCTACCTCACAGGGTTGTTGTGAGGATTTAAATTAGATAATTGTACGAAAAGTGCCAAGCACAGTGCCTGGCACACAGTAGAATAGGTGCTCAATAAAATGGTAGCTATTATTATAATTACTACTACTACTATTATTTAGTCTGAATTGACAGGAGTTTAGAATATATGTAAAGAGCCCTGGTTGCCCAGTGGCTAAAGCATTCTGTTGCTAACTGAAAGGTACAAGCAGTTCCATGGATGAAAATATGACAGTCTGTGAAGCATCTGTGAAGACTTACAGCCTTGGAGATTGGGGGCAGTTCTGCTCTGTCCTTTAGCTCACTATGAGCTGGAATTAACTTGATGGAAACCAGTAGGGTATGTGTGGAAGATAAAGCTGCAGAAGTAGGAGTGGAGTCTGGTCGTAAGTCTTGAGTCCTCCTTTTAAGTCACTTAATGGTTTCAGGCTATGACCCTAGTTTGAGATCAGATCTTCATCCTACCACATTCTGGCTTCTGGCAGAAGGAGTTAGGGACAGGACTGGCTCAGCTGCTTGCAGGAAGGCATCAGGGTATCTTTGCATAAAGATTTCCCCACCACCACCCAAGGTCTCCTGTAAGAGCCAAGCAGGCTTTTCATGTTTACTAGTTGGTGTCTCCTTTCAGCTTGGATATGAAGATTAACTCTTCATCAGAGAAGGGACTCCATTTCTCATATCCAGTTAAATTCAACTCTAAAACATTTCCCAAGCAACATAAGTGCCTGCCAGTTGAAAGCATACAGCTCCTGACCTCGACCCCACAGTCATTTAGTTAAGGTAGAGAGTACTGGCACAGTCATTAAAATCTTTAGCTAATTTATTGTGAGGATTTATTTGTCTACCCTTCATAAACTCCTTCTTGGGTCTTGATCCCTAGGAAAAGGTTCATAGTTGGAATAAAAATGACATTTACAAAGTTTGAGAGACTCAAGTGAAGTGAGGAAGCAATAAAACTCTGGAAAAACACTTCTGCCAAGTTATGCGTCTGTACGTAAAGACAGTAAGTCTTTGGAGTCTGCAGAGAGAAAAGGTTTACAGCAGTCCACGAATTGACAGATGGACTTCAACAAAACTGCATTAACCCTCTGAATCTCCCCAAAAGAGGCAAAGGAGAAATTGCAAAGACTACAACTCCCAGAATGCTCCGTGGGGATAACCAGGTTGGGAAGGGAAGCAGCGGATGCTGGGATGAGTAGTATCTCCGGAAGGCGGGGGCAGTTTCCCGAAGTCAGTCGGTAATTGTAGTCTTGGTAAACCTCGAGAGCATACGATCAGCATACGATCGTAAAGGCGAAGGCCAAGAGGCCTGACGGGATTAGTAGTCGGCTGGGAGGCGGGGCGAGAGCGCATGCGCAGCCTCGGGCGGGGCGGGGCCGTGGCACTGCAGTGAAAGCCGAGGCAACGGGCAGGCTAGCAGGGGGCGGGCGGACATCTTGGGATCCGGAGAGTGGCCCGGCCGAGGAGGGTGCCGTGGACACCAGGTGAGCTTGGGACCTGGCCTTGTGGGGTGCAGGAAGCCGGCGCAGGCTGCGTTTCCCGGCCGCCCAGCGGTGTTCTTCCCTGCGCTGCGCGGAAAGCTGCCCACACGGGAGTGGCCTCAGTCTCCAGACCCGGGAGTGAGCTGACGACAGGGCGGGGGTGCCAGGGGAGCGGCTGCGAGACGGCGGGGAACAGTGCCCTCCACCTGACCCGGCCCGCGCCTCCCGGGAGACGGAGCCCGACTAGAACCCTCCCAGAGCCAGGCCCCGCGCGGCGCTGCCCGCCCTCGGATCGTGACCACCCCCAGTCCCTTGGTGCCTTCTCTCGCGTAAAGGACAATCCCCCCCACCCCTTCTCCTGGGGCAGTGACACCACCCTGGGCTCCCTGCGTGGACTGTGTGACAAGCTGCTCTCCCACCCCCACGGCGCCCTTTAGTTCAGTGACAGCCTTCGGCTCTTCGTTCTCAGACCCCTGACAGCCCCCCATCCAGTGGCACCGTCTCCCGGAGTGGACCTCTCCCTTGGCGAAGCACCCATCACTCTTTTATCCCTTTGCAACAGACTCCCAAGGCAGGCTCCGTTCCTCCAGCTTTCATCACTAATTGCGATTCCCCGCTCCCTTCCCCCCAAAACGGCTTGACCTTTTTTCTAGTCCAGAGTGTCTTTCCCCTCTGTGCACTCTCCTCACCCCAATCCGACCTCTGCTCCCTGCTCACTTTGCTACTGTGGGCTATTGGCCATGGTAGCCAGTCTTTTCCTTAACTCACTATGCCATTCCTGCTCTGCTTCTCCCAGGGCCCAGGCCTCCCTACCACTTGATACCTGTGAACTTGGCTCTATGCCCAGGACTCTACTTCCATTTTGCATCTCCTCTCCCAGCCTCTTTGGGTCTGAGGAATGGGATATGTCCACCACCCTTCAAAACCTCACTATTGCTGGAGGCTTTGTTTGCCAGAGTCAAAGTCTTCTGTTTTCAGCTTAGAAAAGACTGCTAAAGTCTCTGCTGTGAAATTAATACTGGGCTTAATCCAGACAATCTAGAGCTAAATTAACTCCTTTTCTCCTCTCAGTCTAAATTTGTTTGACCCAAATAATTTGAATAATTCAAGCATTTTTGCTATGCCTGCCCCTTGCTTAGAGGCACTCAGGCCCGGCATGAGTCATCTCCTGGCTGTGGAATTCCCAAATTTCGGGGTGGGGGGAGATCACTTTAATTTTTATCAGCTTACCTACTCCTCACCTTTTTATTGCACTCTAGGACAGAGCAGGGAGCCTCCCCATATGAAAGCAGGGTAGTCAAAAATAATAAGTGGCTTAGGTCACTGACGTGTACGCTGCCTACCATGTCTGGGCCCTTTCTACTCTGCTCTTTTGCCTTGCTTATCTGACTGCTGGAAGAGGTTGAGCCACACAAGAGGTCAGAGGCCTTCCTTTCCCTCCTCCTCCTCCCCACACCCTCCCTGGTGCTTCTTGGAATGTTAAGGCTGCGGTGAATTAGACAGCCAGTGGTTCTGGCCCTGCTACCTTCTCAGAAGCACAGAGGAGCCTGAGAGGCCCAGTGCTCTGAGTTTGTTCCTAGGGCCCCAGGCCTGGGCCATCTGGAGTCATAGCTGCAGGCAGGCCAATGCTGTGACTCACAAGCTGGATCCTGAGTGAGAGTCTGCACAGGAAGGGCCCTAGAAGGATCCCAGCTGAGCTCAGTGCTGGCAGAGCTGCGGGGTACTGCCCTCTGCTTCCAGTCCCTGAAAAGGGAGGACCAGAATGGCCTGAGAATCCAGGCTCCAAGTCCCTTTGGGTTCTTTTCCTCCCTCCCAATGGGTAGGATAAACAGGAACTGAGCCTGGCTGGAGGGAGGGGCGTGCCTGGAAGGGCTAGAGGGTTGCCTGCTGAAGGGGGTTGAGTCCGTGAACCGCTCAGTCAGTGTGACCTGCACAGCCTCACCAGAGATGTTCTGAGACCTTTGCTTTCCTTCGTCTCTACCTATCCTAGGTCCTTTCTCAGAGCAATGGGCTACGGAGACTGAGCTGCCGCCATGATTGGAGGGTTGTTCATCTATAATCACAAAGGGGAGGTGCTCATCTCCCGGGTATACCGAGATGACATCGGGTGAGTGCCCTGGATGAGCCAGCTGTGCCATGCCAACCCAGCCCCCAGCCCTAGCATGCAGGACCAGATCTCTTCCCACCAGCGTGTTGACTTGGGCCACCCTCCTCCCTCACTGCTTCCTGGAAGCCTAACTAATACATCCTGGTTCCCTCTGGGGCTAGTGGTGTTGGCTGTCAGCCAGTTTGTCAGCCCTAGGCAAGGCTGTGGATTAGTGTGTCCTCCACAGACTTGGGAGCTTGTGTCCTCCTTGTTCCCCTTAGTGGCAGACCTGGTTATTAGAGGCAGTTGCTTTTTGCCAAGCAAGGTTATTTCTTCCTTTGAGGAGAGAGATCTGTTTTCCAGTTGGTGGACTTAGGGGCCAGACTAATTCATTCTAAATTTTGTTCTCAAAAGTCCACTTCATGTTGGAAGCTTCCACTGGATTCTCTTGAAACCCTCTCCAGGCTGCAGAATCCTCTCCCGCCTCCCTTTTTCAAGAGGAATCGGGCTGCTGACTCACTTGATTTCAGTTCCTTTGGGTGATCCTGGAAGAGAGGTTGTGGCAAGCCTGAGACTTTCTGCAGTCCTTGAGCCAAGGGTGGGAAGGCCATGCTGCCCTTTCTGACCTGTTAGAACTGCCCCAGAACACCTTACCCTAGGTCCCTGGGGCTTTAAGAAGGAGCTGCGGCCTGCCTTCTTTTTCTCTTCCCCCTTTTCCGCCACTTTGCTTTGCTGGCTGAGGGACACAGCCTAACCTCAGCAGTTCTAATGGGATTAGCTTCGTCTGGTTCTTCCTGCCCTGGTTTTCTTGCTCATAGAGCTTGAGATAAGCAGTCACAGAGTGGGCCTGTGGCAGTGTCCCCAGCTCCTTACCTTCCTGACTTAAGAGGCTAACCTGGCCATGGGGGCTGTTTGTCCATTGGCTGGTGGTGGTACATGAGCTGGAGTAGTGGCAGTGCCTGGTCTGTGTGAGCCTGGCCGGCTACTCGCCCCCTCCTCCCTTACTCTGGGTAAGCTACGACCAGGTGCATGCCAGCGTGCATGCCTGGCTGCAAGGGTCCCACCCTCACTGCTGCTTGTTTGCTTCTACCTCATGATGTGTGCTTCCCACCCCCAGTGTGTGCTGTGTCTAATCCTGTATCTCGTTGCTGTCACTCTCCTCTTCTTGCCGGTGTCATTTCTCTCATCCCATCTCATTGGCTGTCGTAGCAATAGGTAAGCAGCCTGTCAAGCTGGCGCCCAGGCACAGGTGGGTGGGGGCCCTTGCCTCCCATCGTTGTTTCCTTCATCTTTTTTCTTGCCCTGGAATTGGAACTTGGGCAACAATGGGTGGCACAGCTCCAAAGCCCCTCTATATTCCCCCCTCCGAGAGCCCTCTCTGAAGTCCTGCTGATCCTCTAACTTCAGGAGGAGTTTGCTTTCCTGCAGGTGGCATCACTGGGGGGGGGGGGGGCGCTGAAGGAACATCTCTTTCTCTTCTGGGCCTGGAGCTCACTGGGAAGCTAGACAGGTGGCAGCTGAGGTACCGCAGGGGAATTAGGGCCAGGCCTGGGAATCAGGGACATAACCTCCCTAGATCTGGTAGACCTCACCTCGTTGAGGTTACATCTGCCCTCCTTTCATTGCCACTTGACTTCCCTTTTTCTTGTGATGTCTCAGACCAGCTCAGCTCTGGCCTTCCTCCTGTGCCAGCAAAGGGAGTCCCAAGAAGGGAACTGTCCCAGTGGTTTGGGCATTGTCTTTAAAGTGAATGCAGATTTCAGCACCAAGAAGGGTGGGGCTGCCCTAGCTGTGGTTGCTCCTCAGGGGGTGCGGCTTGCCTGGTGCTGAGCTTCCGCTGTGCATGGTTTTCCCACAGGAGGAATGCAGTTGACGCCTTTCGGGTCAATGTTATACATGCTCGGCAGCAGGTGCGCAGCCCCGTCACCAACATCGCTCGTACCAGTTTCTTCCATGTTAAGCGGTCTAACATCTGGCTGGCGGCTGTCACCAAGCAGAATGTCAATGCCGCCATGGTCTTCGAATTCCTCTATAAGATGTGTGACGTAATGGCTGCTTACTTTGGCAAGATCAGTGAAGAGAACATCAAGAACAATTTTGTGCTCATATACGAGCTACTGGATGGTGAGTCTGCAAGGCAGCAGGTCTAGTGGGTGGTGGGGCTGATTGGCCATGGCCCAGAGGTGGCAGTAAGATCGAAGCTTTCATGTTTTTGGAACTTTCTTTCCTTAAATTCTGGTGTCTCGGGCCCCAGAAAAGGTTAGTCCATATAGCAGCTTAAAAGCTATTCTTAGATAGAGCACAGATCCAGGCCATGGAGGTTGTTGTTAGTGTACTGTCAAGTGAGAACCAACCCATAGCTGACCGTTCAGCATGTTTTCAGAGGCAGTTAATCACACAGGAGGAGACTACCCATCTTTCTTCTGCAGAGCAGCCAGTGGATTTGAACTGCATACCTTTGGGTTGCCAACATAGTAGGGTGAAGTTTTGATCTTTCACTAGACTAGGAACCTGACTTGGGGGCTGGGATTCCCACAGTTAAGCAGACTTCATCCTTTTACCATTGGGGTTTGGACCTTGGCCCCCAGCTTCCTATTGCCTGGGGAAGGATGAATTGTTAAAAATTCCCTTGGGGGAGGAGGAAGGGGTTATCTCTGTTCCTCTATAGGGTGTAAGTGAGTCCTTCTACCTTCCCAACCACATCTGTCTAGGGGCCTAGGACCTCTTAACCCTTTTTTCGTAAATTTTCTTTCTTTGAAAAAGATTGGGCATTTATGAAGCACAAATCCCTAGAGTAAATGCTGCTAGGGGACATTTCTGCAGGTGATCTCTGCTGTCCTCTGGTGCTGTGCTGACCACATACACCCAGATCAAGGGAGAAGTTGGCACGCCTTCCTTCCGCTTTTCCCAGAGGCTGATAGTTCCCTCCTTTTGTAGAGATCCTGGACTTTGGCTATCCACAGAACTCTGAGACGGGGGCGCTGAAAACCTTCATTACTCAGCAGGGCATCAAGAGCCAGGTACTTGAGTTGTATGGGCCAGTTAGGGTGGAGCCTGACTTCACTTCATCCCAGCAGGTCCATGAGCTTTAGCCAAGCTGACTCATTAGCCCACCCCTGACAGGAAGTGCTAGTCAGAGCCTCCTGCCATGATTACAGGCTTATTTGCCCTGTGCAGCCCTCTCCCACCCCAGGAGCAGCTGATTCAGCACCTCTTACTAGGAATTCAGCTAAGCAGTTTCCCTCTGTACTGGAGGAAGGGGAGGGTGTGGGGTTTTGGAGGCCTGGGGTTCCTCAGGAGTAGGGAACTGGGGCCCTCCTCTAGAATGCATAGCCTCAGAACTTTCTCTTTCTTCCCTCCTGTTACCTCTTCCCATCTGCGCTCCCCTGCTGTGGGCACCTCATTGGTCTTGTGGCCTCCAGCATCAGGTAAGCATTCCCTCAGCTTCCAGCCTTTCAGCTTTGCTCTGTTTCTCCCAACCCTACTCCATGTGGGAAGACAAAGGACAAAATGGGAACTAGAAGAAAAGAAAGTTAAGGGTGGAGTGGGGGTTGAGGAAGGCTGACTGGAAGGGGAAGGAAATGACCTCCTTGTTCTTTATCTCTGTTCCATGTAGACAAAGGAAGAGCAGTCCCAGATCACCAGCCAGGTGACGGGGCAGATTGGCTGGCGTCGGGAAGGCATCAAGTATCGCCGAAATGAGCTCTTCCTGGATGTGCTGGAGAGTGTCAACCTGCTCATGTCTCCGCAAGGTGGGGTTCTGCTGATGTGGCGGCAGCAAGGCTGAGTTGGGGTCCTGGTGCTGCCCGCCTGATTTAACAGTGTCCCTGTGTCTGTGTCACCAGGGCAGGTGCTGAGTGCCCACGTGTCAGGCCGGGTGGTGATGAAGAGCTACCTGAGTGGCATGCCTGAGTGCAAGTTTGGCATGAATGACAAGATTGTCATCGAGAAGCAGGGCAAAGGCACAGCTGACGAAACAAGCAAAAGGTGCCTGAGGCAGGGGAGCTGGCAGCAAAGGGTGGGCCTCAAGAGCTCAGAGAGAGGGTGCACATGAACCACAGCTTGCTTCTGGTTGCATTTCTTTGGCAATGCAAACTCTCCCTTTCCATAGGAGAGAGTTGCTAGTTGTCCTTGACATTTGTACTTACTGTTCAGAGAGCAAATGCCTTTGTTTGGTCCTTGGGACCATGGCTTCTTTTGTACTAATGGTCTCTGCATAGGATGTCTGAAACATCTGGGTATCAGGCAGTAGGGCTCTCAAGAGAGGACCAGCTGGTAGAGCTTCTGATGATCTTAACTCTGGGACAGGCACCTTTGGGTCAGAGAGTTGCTTCCCATGTACAGATTTTGCCAGGGGTTTGGGAATTTTTTTTGGGGTGGGGTAGTCTCCTAGCCTGCCACTCTCCTGTTCCAATGAGGAGTTCTCTCTTGCCCTACCTGCAGTGGGAAGCAATCAATTGCCATCGATGATTGTACCTTCCACCAGTGTGTGCGACTCAGCAAGTTTGACTCTGAACGCAGCATCAGCTTCATCCCACCAGATGGAGAGTTTGAGCTCATGAGGTGTGCTGTATGTGTGCAGAGGAGGGAAAAGGTTGTTGCTGGCAGAGGAGAGGCAAGAGTTGGGCAGGTTCTGCTTTGCCAGCCCTGCTCCTTGTCTTCACAGGTATCGCACCACCAAGGACATCATCCTTCCTTTCCGAGTGATCCCACTGGTGCGGGAAGTGGGGCGCACCAAGCTGGAGGTCAAGGTGGTCATCAAGTCCAACTTCAAGCCCTCATTACTTGCCCAAAAAATTGAGGTGAGGACAAGGGCCTTGGGGAGGAGAAAGAACTTGTCTCCAGGATCAGTGCAGCTAATGTTGGGGCTTGAAGGAGCTCCCTGACTGCTGCACCTCTTGTAGGTGAGGATTCCAACTCCACTGAATACAAGCGGGGTGCAGGTGATCTGCATGAAAGGCAAGGCCAAGTACAAGGCCAGTGAGAACGCCATCGTGTGGAAGTGAGTCTTTTTCTTTATGAGACTGCAGCAGAATTTAGAATACCTTCCCCTTACCCACTGATTAAGGTTCTCGTGTGTGTGAGATTTTCACTGAGCCTTATACTTCTCCATGAGTATATATATGCCGACACATGGGCTTATGTATCCATTAATTTTTTAAGATGCTTTAATGTTGCCTACTTGCCTCTGTAATATGCAGACAATCGCAGAAGCCACGTCTGCTGTGCTATAGGAAATATAGATCCAAGGTTGTAGAGCAAGTTTTTAACAAGATCCTGACCCCCATTTCCCCATCCTGCCATCTCCCACAGGCTCCTGGACATGCTTCCCCTGCCCTGAGAATACCCCCTTCCCCTTAAAACTTCTGCCAGGGCCACTTGCTGCCCATTGCTCTATGTTCCCAGGATCAAGAGAATGGCGGGCATGAAGGAATCGCAGATCAGCGCTGAGATTGAGCTTCTGCCTACCAATGACAAGAAGAAATGGGCACGACCCCCTATTTCCATGAACTTTGAGGTATGACAGGACTTTATAGCTGTGACCACCATGGTGTCCTGGGAAAGATCTGACAGTGCTTTACCATTGAGGAAACTGAAGCCGACCCTGTAATTCATAGGCCCATTTCTTGCCCCTTGAAGCTTCTTAGTAGAAATTGTTATTCATACACAAAACTCTGACTTGTCACAAAGCAGTCCTTGGAAAAAAATTGGATTTGAATGCTAGTTAGAAAGTCTATTCAGACAGGAACATGGGCCAGCTGCTTTGTCAGATGTGTTTCATTTCACCACTGGCAAGCTAACTTCAAACCCAAGATGATTGTTGGTTGCCGTTTTCTTACAACTACTCAGAGGCCCCTTACTACCCCAGTTTCTTTCAGGAGCCCAACAATTCACTCTTACAGGTACAAGGGCAGGCTTGGGGAACTGCCTAGAGCAAAGTGGCTGATGGCTAGAGAGGAAGACCACATTTCTAACCGGAGCTTGTCTCTTGTCTAGGTGCCATTCGCACCTTCTGGCCTCAAGGTGCGCTACTTGAAGGTGTTTGAACCGAAGCTGAACTACAGCGACCATGATGTCATCAAATGGGTGCGCTACATTGGCCGCAGCGGCATCTATGAGACCCGCTGCTAGCTGCTCAGCGGCAGCTAGCCTGCCTCCCCACCCACTCTCGTCCACAGGCCCAGGCCCCCAGCTACTGCACATCAGTGTCTCCTCTCCTGCTTTGCTGCCTTCCCTTTGCACCAACCCCACTGCAAGCGAGACTGGTGGGGTAGTCCCTGGGCTCCCCGGGCTGGGGGCTTTCCCCGGGCTGGGGGCTTTCTGGGGCTCCTGTTCCTCCAGCCGTTGGCCCTGGCCCAGTGCCAGGCTCTGTTCTGAGTTCTGTGACCAAAGCCAGGTGGGGCCCCACTCCTCCCGACCCCTGTGGCCACATCTCTCTGGAGTGAGAGGGTTGGCTGCCCCTCACCTTAGAGCTTCCCCGAAGGCCAGTAACAGAACCCCAGCCCTCAGTCCCTACTCTGCTTTGGGATAGTGTGAGCTTCATTTTGTACACGTGTGACTTTGTCCAGTTATAAACCCAATAAACTCTGTAGAGCGGAGTTGCTGGCTCAGTGTTGATGGGGTAGTCACATGGGAAGGGGGCACTGGTGGAATTGCTCTTCCCTTGTTTTCTTACAGTGTTGGGTAGCATTTTCTACTCTGGCCTGTTAAGGCTGTCATTCTCAATTGCTAGGATCCTCCTGAGCCAGCCAAACTTTTATCCTCAGGTGTTTACCGTTAAGTCTCCTGGTTCCTTAAGAATAGCCCCAGGGGCAAGCATTCCCACCTGGCCCTAGTTGCTTAGGGTCACAAATTCTTTTCATTCACTCAGCTTTAGGCAGGTGTTCTCTAATCCAGGGACATTAAGCAAAGTTTTTGTTAGATTTTTTTAACCATCTGAGATACTTAATCTCATCCTTTCCTATTGGCTCCCCAAACGATGATGATGGAAAAATTCTCATTGCCATGGAGTAAGATCAAACTCGGCTGACCTTCAGCAGATTTCCAGAGAAGATTGCCCATCTTTCTCCCTCAGCCACTGGGGCATTCTAACAGCCAGAGGCACTGCCTTTGGGTTAGCAGTGCAACTCTGTACCCTGTGCCACCAGAGCTCCCTCCTCAGCAGACCAAGGCCTGAGCTACTGCCATTATCAGTATCCTCCTCTCCTCCTGGTGGGTAGGTTTTGTTATTAGGTGCCAGTCAATCAACTACAACTCATAGCAACCCTGTGAACAAGAGATCTGAATCTTGCCCTATCTGGCACCATCCTGATGATTTCTAATATGCTTGAACCCATTGTTACAACTACTATGTCCATCTTATTGAGGGTCTTTCTTTCTGACTCCTCACCTTTCCCAGTATGCCTTTTTCCAAGGATGGTTCTCCCTGACAGCATGCCAATAGGGCATAAATGGTGAGATAAAGTTTCACCATACTTGCCTATAAAGAGCATCCTCGCTGCACTTCCTCTAAGGTAGACTTGGTTTTGGCAGCCTGTGGAATATTCAGTACTGTACTCCAACACTACAATTCAAAGCTATCATTTCTTCTTCTGTTATCCTTATTTATTGCCCAACTTTCAAGTGTGTAGGAAGTAATTGAAAATTTGGCTTGGATCAGGCACACATTGGTCTTTTAATTAACATCCTTGCTCTTAAGCACTTTGAAGAAGTCCTTGGAACAGACTATCAGTTACTCATGTACAACTTCAAAATGAAGTTGAAGAAAATGAAAACAATTCAGGAGTACCAAAATAAGAACGTGAGGCTATTTTGCCCGAGTTTAAAAACCATATCAAGAACACTTGACGATGTAATGTCCAAAGACCAGCTGAATTGTGGGATGACAAGAAGGGTAAGAAAGCAAAGTTGTTAATGTGCCATCAAGTCACTTGCGACCCCTGTGTGTTAGCTCTGAAACCTACCCTATCATTCGCCAACAAACCTAATCCTATTGCTCCAGTTACTGAGCCAATCCATTACATCCTGGGTTTTCCTCTCCTGCACTGTCCCTCCACCTCTCCAAGAATGATGTCCCTCTCCAAGAACCTGTCCCTCCTGGACATGTGCCCAAAGTATGTGAAACACATCCTCAAAATCCTTGCCTTCAGGGAGCAGCCTGGTTTCACCCTCCCCTGGATAGACCTGTTTGTTCTCCTGGCAATCCATGTTATGCTCATTACAAAAAGTCATTACAAAGACCAAAATGGGTAACAGAAGAGAATGAAAATCACAGTAGAATGTCGAGAAGCTAAACCAAAGGAAAATGCAGAAGTAAAAGAGATGAGTAGAAGATTACAAAGAGCAGCTCAAGAAAATAAAGGAAACTATAACAAAATGTGCAGTAACCTTGAGTTAGAAAATCAAAAGGGAAGAACACAAGCTGAAGAGTTCAAGCCTCAAGTTGCAACACTGAAGGATTCTATGGGCAAAATCTTGAATGATGCAGGAAGCATCAAAAGATAGAAGGAATACAGAGTTACTGTACTAATAGGTATATAATAGGGTGGTGGGCAGTAAAAGACAAGGTCTCTGTTCTCTACCCTCCTTCCAACCTGCAGGCAACCCATGTGATGAGCTTGATCTTGGAATGCTCCATCTCTTACTGGTGTGTTGGGGTATCCATGGCATCGTTCTCTTCATTTTAACCTTTAATTTTCAACACAAATAGAACATAATGATCTTCCCCGTCCTATCATCCAATTTCAGCAATTGTCAACTTGGCCTGTTTCTTAGTATCACACTTGTTCTATAAAAATGTTTACAACTTGCATCTGAATCCAAAGAAGATCTATTGTTTAATCCTTTTTGAGTCTTACAGTGATTTGTCACGAGTGGAGTACGACCCACAGCAACCCTAAGAGATCTGAACCTTGTCCTATCCTGTGCCATCCCGCTAGAGAGAATGCGACAGTTTCTAGTTTTCCACCAACTTTGTTTCTTGATGTAATTTTATTCCTTTTGTATTTACTCTAAATCGTAATTAGACCTGGTGGCATGGTAAATTAATGGGTTTTTTTTTTCATCACAAATAGCAATGCTTAATCTGAAAAATCTCTCTGGGAGATTTAAATTTTGTCAGTCCGGTTTTCACGCTTATTTGCGAGGAGTGGAGTTGTCCCTTTAAGTGGTGAAGAACCAAAAGTGCTTAATTCACAGTCGTGGCCTGGACATCAAGCTGAACTCATAGTCCTTAGGGCCTGGGGTCTGAAAAAAGACTGGCGAGCGCTGAACGGCACAAAGCGCCTGGGAGGGCTCTGGGACGAGCATGATTCAGCAAAGCTTTAGGCGGTCTCCAAGATGGACCCAGCTGGAAGCAGCGGCGAGGAGCCTTGCGGGAGAACATCAACTGCTGTATGGCCAATGTGGTTTCAGACAGGGAGGTTCCCACCTTCTGGACTACTGGTGTCTCGAGACCAAATAAATCCCAAATTCCCTCGACCGCCCCACCCGCACGACCCAAACGCCACCTCCCCGAAGGCGAGAAGAGCCACACACCCTGCTAATCTTTCCACCGAGAGGCGTTGCGCAAGCGCAGAGACGGACTCTCCGGCGTCGAATCCGAGCGGCGCTTGCGCACTGTTTGTCCACCGCCGGAAGCTCGGCCCGCCGGGCTCTGCGCAGTCCGCTCTTTTCTGACGTCACCCGCACGCATGCGTTCTGGGAGGAGGGACGCGCCTTCGGAGGAAGGGCAGGGGGCGGACCTTGGCCCAGGTCTCACGGAGACTGCGCGGACGGGGTCTCCACAGGAACATGGCGACTTGCGCTGAAATCCTGCGGAGCGAGTTCCCTGAAATTGATGGACAGGTCTTCGATTACGTGACGGGTGAGCTGAACAGAGTCAGACGAGTGGGAAGGCAAAAGCGGAGGCCAGGGGGAAACATTCGGGTTGGACAGTGCCAAAGATCGCTGCCGGGTCTTCTTTTCTGCGTGACCTCTTGTCCCGAGGGCCGGTTGGTTTGGGGGAACCCAGACAAGGCCGGGTTTCGGGCTCTTGAGACTGTATGCCCGCCCACCTCACCCGCTCTCATCTCGTCCTGCCACTGCTGGCCCAGGCGTTTTGCACAGCGGCAGCGCGGACTTCGAGTCAGTGGATGATCTGGTGGAAGCCGTGGGGGAACTGTTACAAGAAGTGTCCGGGGACAGCAAAGATGATGCGGGCATCAGGGCCGTTTGTCAGCGCATGTACAACACTCTGCGCCTGTATGTGCTTGGGCGTGGGGGCTACCAGGGGCGACAGGGGAGGGCACATGGTCCAGAGACCATCAGAGGTGGGCCTGATGCCTCTGGGGCTTTTCCCTCATCTAACAGTATACTTTCTGCTCCTACCCTCAAGCGCTGAGCCACAGAGCCAGGGAAACAGCCAGGTGTTACTGGACGCCCCCATCCAGCTGTCAAAGATAACAGAGAATTATGGTGAGAGTGAGAGAAGATTGAGTTAGCTGCCCTCTCCATCCCTTTCTTATCCTCCACCCTGAACTCAGAGAGTCCACGCTTTTCCACCTGACAATGTTGTAGAAGCTAGGTGATAACCTTTACTGAACGCAAATGATCACAAAGTAGAGAGATAATCGGGGTTGGGGAGAGTTGTCTGTGTTCATGGGTATGTCTGGAAGCATGTGGCTTTTGGAGATGACAGACTTGGGGTCATGCCCCCAATTTTACATCTTACTAACCAGCCACATGCTCTTCTGAGTTACTTATCTTCCCCAGCCTCTGTTATCTTTATCTATGGATTTTTATTTTTTTTTAATCTGGGAGGAGGGCTGGCTATCCATCCCAAGGTTTAAAAAGCTTTCCTGAAAATTTCTTTGTTTGTGTGGAATTCGTAGTAGTTACTCAGAATGTTAGTTTGTCCCTTGGGAAGAATCTGACTGCTCTTCTTGTTGCTTACAGACTGTGACCCCAAACTTCCCGGACTGCTAAAGAGGGAACAGTCCTCGGTGAGCAGAGAACAAAAGTGGCTGAGAGGAGAGATCGCAGTGGGGTTGAGGATGTTGGTTTCGGAATATTTGTGTTTCTTTTTTTTGGAAGATTTTTTGTTTTCCTCTGAGTCTTTGGGTCTGTTCCCCATGGCTAGGTTGAGAGGGGTTAATATAAGTTGGTCTCTCTGGGGTTTCCTTTCTGAGCCTATACCGTAGGGTGAAATTGTTGCGTTTGGACCCTTAGACAGTGAACGCGAAGAAGCTAGAGAAGGCAGAGGCACGCCTGAAGGCAAAGCAGGAGAAGCGCTCCGAGAAGGACACCCTCAAGACTAGCAGCCCACTGTGAGTTTTGGAATAGTTAACTCAGAGCAGCAGAGGGCAGTGCTGTCTCTGCTGGCTGGTTGAGAATACTGAAAGTCCTCCCTTTCTCCTTTTAAAAGAGTCTTGGAAGAAGCATCGGCCAGCCAAGCAGGCAGCCGAAAAGAGAATCGGTTGGAATCATCTGGGAAGAACAAATCTTACGATGTGCGAATTGAGAACTTTGATGTGTCATTTGGAGATAGGTGAGGGCATGTTGGAGGGAGTTGCAGTCTTTTTCCAGTCATAGGAGAATCTATAAGAATAACATGGGGTTAAAACAACTTTGGTTCTCTGTTTTCCCACGTGCTTTGCACCTAGTTTGGCAACCCCTGGCTCGGTGAGGTTTCTCAAGCTATAGGGAGTTGCACGGCTGTCGAGTCCACATGCTAGAGGAAGATGGACTGTAAATCCTCCCATGCCATTTACAGCCTTGGAAACCCTCTGGTCTTCTCCCAATCCCTCCTGTAGGGTATTGCTGACTGGTGCAGATGTGAATCTGGCGTGGGGCCGCCGCTACGGGCTGGTGGGGCGGAATGGTCTAGGGAAGACGACATTGTTGAAGATGCTGGCCAACCGGAGCCTGCGAGTTCCAGCCCACATTTCCCTGCTGCATGTAGAGCAGGAGGTTGCTGGCGACGACACCCCAGCCCTACAGAGTGTGCTGGAGAGTGACACTGTCCGAGAGGACCTTCTGCGTCGGGAACGTGAGCTCAGCGCTCAGATTGCCTCAGGCAGGTGAGAACTCCCTGCTGGAGAATGACCAGCTTCAGCTGTCCTTCGTACAGTGCCCACCTTACTGTCACAATCCAGTGTGCACAACCATCCTAGTAAGTGGCAGAGCTTGGCACTTAGCATTGTGAGACGCAAAAGCCCTTGTTCCTTCTCTGTGTTCTCTGCCCAATCTGCCTGGGACGTCTCTACCCTGTTTGTCTCCCATCAGCAAGCTAGCTATAGTCTGCCTTCCAGCTATCTTGGGTGCCTTCCAGCTCTCTTGGGTGCAGAACACCTTCTCAGACTGCCCTCTTCCAGCTGATTTGTCCCCCGTCTTCCCCACCCCAGGGCGGAAGGCTCAGAAGCTGCACAGCTGGTGGAAATTTATGCCAAATTGGAGGAGATTGAGGCGGACAAGGCACCTGCCAGGTATTGGACTCCTGCCCCCTCGCTTTCAGAGTCCACTTTCTATTCTGTCCCTTGTCTTAACTGTGTACTTCATTTTCCTCATTCCTAGGGCGTCAGTCATTCTTGCTGGACTTGGATTTACCCCTCAAATGCAGCAGCAGCCCACCCGGTGAGTGGCCCTTGCTGTTCTTGTCCCTGGGTGGTATCGGTGCTTCCTGTGCCTGCCCCAGTAAGGCATGCTGCCCCTCTGACACAGACCTGTGTTTCTTTAGGGAGTTCTCGGGTGGCTGGAGGATGCGGTTGGCCCTGGCTCGGGCCCTGTTTGCTCGGTGAGTTTTCTGGAGCCCTGTGGGGTAGGGATCTTTGCTCCTGTGTATCTAGTCACTGACCGAAAACCTCACACTGTGTTCTTTTTTCAAAGGCCAGATCTTCTGCTATTAGATGGTGAGTTTAAAAAAAAGACCCTGACTTTGGTATAAGGACATGTGGTAGAACCAGGCTCCTAGTTGCTTGGCTTTTCAATCCCAAATATGTGCCCTCTCACCTTTTCAGAACCCACCAACATGTTGGATGTAAGGGCCATCCTGTGGCTGGAGAATTACCTGCAGGTGAGTACGTGCCTACAGCTCCACCAGTAAGTGTGGGGGAAGTCTACCTCCAAGACCCTGTGAGGCTGTGGGCTGACTGCCCTCCCAAACTGGGCCTGCCATCCTGTGACCCCTCAGACATGGCCTTCCACAATCCTAGTCGTCTCCCACGACCGCAACTTCCTGAATGCCATCGCCACAGACATCATTCATCTGCACAGCCAGCGCCTGGATGGATACCGGGGTGACTTTGAGACCTTCATCAAAAGCAAGCAGGAGAGGCTGCTCAATCAGCAGCGTGAGTATGAGGCCCAGCAGCAGTATCGCCAGCACATTCAGGTGAGGGACAGGCTGGTCTGGGTACCCTATTGGTGTCAGAAGTGGAAGGAGTGAGTGCCAGGCCAACCCCTGCATTTCACCCACAGGTCTTCATTGACCGGTTTCGCTACAATGCCAACAGAGCCTCTCAGGTGCAGAGTAAACTCAAGATGCTGGAGAAGCTGTGAGTATCGTCCTTGGCCATTAGAACCTGCTACCTTCTTCTCTTGTCCAACAGGTCACTCTTGTCTTCCCATTCTAGGTCTTTCCTTCACTAGATTTTAACTTCCTTTCTTCAAGCAGACCGATGTTTTATTGCTGTTGGGGATATCTTTACCTGCCCTGGGCAACCACTGATGTTAATTATTTGTCCCTGTGTGTTTATTTGCCATGGGCAGTTCGTCAGTGAGATCATACAGTATGTGACCTTCTGTTATTTGCCTTAGTATTTTTATGGTTTGTCCACATTGTACTTTGTGTCACTAATTCACTCCCCCCCCCAAATTCATTTAATACAGTCAAATAATAGTCTATTGTATGTGTATACCTTTTGTTTATACAAAACAAACATTTGGTTGTTTTGACTTATTATTGTTGTGTTCTCTGAACACTAATCACAGGTTTTTGTGTGGACCTGTATTTCCAGTTCTTTTGAGTATAAACCAGAGAGTATAGTTGTTGAAACATATTGTTACATGTTACAGTTTTGAGAAACTGCCAAACTATTTTCCAAAATGGCTGTACCATTTTACACTCCCACCAGTACTATTTCTAGTTCCTACACAGCCTTTCCAGCACTTTTTGTCTATTTTTTTAGCCATTCTGGAGGGTAAAGTGGTATCTCAGCTCCAGTAACATAGTCTGTAGGGAACCAGTGCTATTAACCCGGAGGCTGAGCCTCTTTGCGCATTGGAAGTTTAATTCTTTCTTCTTCTTCTTCTTTTTTTTTTTTTTAAATTTTATTTTATTATTGTGTGTGTACCGTCAAATCGAATCTGACTGGTACAGGAGGAGATTGCCCCTCCTCTGGCAGAACATCTGGTGGATTCGAACCGCATATTTCTGGGACTGCAGTGTAGCTTCTTGCCACTAGGCCACCAGAGCTCCGGAAGTTTAATTCTTAAAGCAACTTTTCTAGAGTTGTTAATGGGGGAAGCTTAAAAGTGATAAAACTTAAACTCTCTGTCATGAAAACATTGATGTTGTGGAAATTGTCAGTGAGGTTAGACTACAAAATGAATAATCCTCTTTTTCAGTATATAATGGACTAGAACGCTATACTATAAAATATGGAAGTCATCTGGGTAGTAAGATTGCAAATTTTTCATTGATTGTGCACCTACTCCTCACTTATTGACATGGTTAAGGGTCCAAAGACCAGGTGGCTGTGTGAAGTTTGGTATTATGCACAAATGTAGAATGATTATATTAGATCACAAAATGGAAAATGACAAGATCATGAAGAAATTGTCAAGTTATCACTTAACTGCCAAACCACTGTGCATCGTGACCTGAGCAAGTTGATACATTAACTTATTCTCGTCAGCATTACTCTTGATGTGAAAACACATTCCTTTTTCATCATTGCCGGTCGTACATTGTTAATATACAAATTAGATGTTGGGATTTTTTCACTGTCATCATACCTGTGAAAGTTTGGGGAAAGTTTTAAATCTGATTCATTCCTTCTCTCCCCTCAGACCAGAGCTGAAACCAGTGGACAAAGAATCCGAGGTGGTGATGAAGTGAGTGCTGGGCCTGAGGGACTGGTATTGGAAGTCACTCTGGCCTTCCGCATGCTCCTCACCTCCACCTCCTGCAGGTTCCCTGACGGATTTGAGAAGTTCTCGCCACCAATTCTGCAGCTTGATGAAGTGGATTTCTACTATGATCCTAAGCATGTCATCTTCAGCCGTCTGTCTGTTTCTGCTGATCTTGAGTCCCGCATTTGTGTGGTAGGATTGCTATTCCCATTTTTATGTTCCATTTGGTGTGACTCTCCTCTCACACCAAAGAATGTGACAGGTCCCACATCTTGGGCTGCAAATGGAAGAGGTCCATGGAGCAAGAGGCCTTTCTTTCTTGTAGTTATAGTGTATGTAAAAAATGTACTTACTTTATATAAGTAATTCTACTAAAGGCAGAGACTACAGTAGTTACCCTGCCCCATCTGCTGGTCTCACAGGACCACTCCTACAGATAGAGGAAAGCTGACATGCGGTATTTTGTTAATATTTGATTGTTGTTGTTGTTGTTATGTGCCGTCGAGTCGCTTGTGACTCATAGCGACCCTGTGTACAACAGCCCTAAACCCTGCTCTGTCCTGTGTCAATCGCACTGTCTCTGACACTCCCATCCCAATTATCCCAGTCACTGAATCAATCCACCACATAGAGGGCCTTCCCTCCTTCGCCGTCCCTCCACCCTCCCAAGCATGATGTCCTTCTTCAAGGACCGGTCTCTCCTCACAACATGTCCAAAGTATGTTAGATGGAGCCTCAGAATCCTTGCCTC